TTTTTTTCGCGGTCGCAACATCGTCCGTCACATGTATCTCACAAACATGACCACGGGAGGCCCGACTAGATTTCTTTAAAATGGGTTAATCTAAAATAAAAATCAAATCAAACAAAAACCAAATCCTTTTCGTTGAAGATAGATTGTCGGGGGCATTCATCAAAAGTTGGGCTGGAGGGGGGTTGGGTTGTGAAGGACGACGACGGAAAGACGATGCTTGGTAAATTGTAGATTTAGTTATCCTCCTTTCTCCTCTGACAGTTTATGGTTTATTAATGTGAAAGTTTTTAAGTTGTTCAACTTGCCCTGCTAGCTCAGTGGTAGAGCGTATCTCTCCTACTAATACGTCTTGTAGGATTCAAGATGAAGTCGTGGGTTCGACCCCCACGTGGGGCTTCCTTTTTCCTTTTTTTTTAAAGTTCCCACTTCTGAGTCGCGTACCAACCTTTTTGACTGCTTCTCCGGGTTTTGGGTCGGAATGGATCACAAGGACTTTTCTAATTATACACACATACGCTTCTCATGCGATACTATACAACGTTGTCATCTTTCTTTGGGAGTCAACGGATAGAGGGGGCGGGGGGAGTCAAAGATGGGAGAAGTAGCGGTGGGTGGGGGGTGACGCAAGCTGTGGTGATACGAGCATTTAGACGAGATCCCACTCCTCCTCCTTCTCGGACGACCTTAATACGGAAACACCACCACCATCTCCCGTCCTTTGAACACCATCGCGGATGGTCACAACTGATTTCCCATCGTCTTTCTCCTTACCACCACCGCCGATATCTGTTGCCCCTCCGATCTCCACACCGTTGAAGATGACAGCACCGGCGCCAGGTCTTCCTCCCCCCCCTCCTCCTTGACTGGACTTTGAGATCGGGACCTTGCCCCCGGAGGTGATTCTTCCCCTGTCCTTCGAATGGGTTGCAACCCGACTCGTTGAACCGATGGCTCCACTAGTTCTTCTGATTTCTCCTACATCAGGCATCGGACCATCACCGGTCCGGTTCGTACCGCCTCCTCCGCCTCCCTTTCCATACTCTTCCGCTTGGCCCAGGGGCGATTTCGAAGGGGCAGTGGCGGCACCCGAGACATCCAGCCCCCTCTTCCTGAGAAATTCGAGCGAGGCTGGGCTCGGTTTCGGCAATTTCCTTCCGGTTGTCCCGTGATGATCGATTACTTTACTGCTTTGTCTAGTCGGGGCCAAGTTCGACTTTTCTGTGGGGCTGGTTTTCGAGGGGGTGGTGGTGGAAGAGGAGGAGGAGGAGGACCTACTCTCACTCTTTCTATCAAGTGTTGCCCTCTGTGCCTTCTTTCCGAGATTAGCTCCTTCGGACGACCTAGTTGAGGTGGATGAAGGAACGGAAGGGATCGCGGCTGCAATATGAGTAACAGCAGCAATAGTGCCAACCTTCGCCGCCCCTTTCTCTGTCTTGGAGGATCCCCGCGAGATGTCTAGGACAGACGCGGCAGCAGCCGCAGCGTCGACGTAACTTCCTTCCATGACGATCTTTGTTTCTTTAGCGCCTTTTCCACTGGATGATGACTTGCTGCTCTTTCCGGATGACGAAGGGTTCTTGCCAGAGGTCGTCGAGGAGGTTGTGGGGGAAAGACCTCCCGTGGTGGCTGGTTCGTGGATCTGAGCAAGTTGGTCTACGTCGAGTTCCGGAAAGGAGATGTCTACGATCTGTGAGCCCGCAGCGTAGGTCGTGTGCGCCTTCTTTCCTAGTTCTGGGCTTTGAATCGCTCTCGACAAGAGCCTGAGGGAGCTACCGGCGGCGCTGACTAGATCTGCTTTCACACCCTGTGTGGAAGCCAAGTAGGCCACGTTATACCCAAGCATCACGAGGGCACTGCAGAACGCCTTGGCCTCAGCCACTCCAGGATCCACCTTCTCCTGTTTGGAAGACTTTGATGGCGGGGCGGTTTCTGAGGCAGAGTCCTCCCTCCCATTCCCGTCCTCCTTGGTCTTGGCACCCTGAGGATCCGTACCTTTGCCTGCGCTTGCCATATTTGAGGTGGATCCCCAAGAGAAGTGCGACCCGGGCGGTAGTTGGATGAAAGACTCCAGAGTCGACAAGGTCGAGGCGCCAAGGCCGAGACTGAAGATGGATTCTCCTAGCTTGGAGGAGGAATTCGCACCGGGAGGAGGGGAGCTTAGGACTGCGTAAGCGGCACTTGACAGATGCAGTGCCTGCTTGCTAGATCCACCACCTCCTGCCCACAGCGAGTTCGGACGAATGTTGGTTTTCCCACCCTGCACGCCGATGGTGAAAGGTAAAGAAATACCAAGGTAAGCTGTCAAGAGCTGCAGGAGGTGGACCGTATGTGCAAGAGCCCCGTTGATCGAGTCACGCGGAAATCGGCGCACATCGCCTGGTAAAGGAAGGACGAGGCCCACAATAGTCCAATCATTCGGGTTTGTGCCCACATCCTTCCCAGCGGTGTGTGAGCCTGCAGCATCGCCAGGGGATGGGAATCGCCGGCCATGTTGGTCGAAATCTTGGGCTTTAGCGCTCGGTGCCCCGTAATCTTGCCGAACGTCGAAAGCTCCAGGCATGTATCTGTCCCGGAATCGATTCGACCTCGTGGGCGAGGTCAAACCAGACGAGATGCCGGTGTTCACGGGAAAGCTTTTACTTGGGAATCCGGGTGGTGGCGAAACCGCAAAGATACTGAAAGCTTCCTTTGCGAGGATCGCCCTGGTTTTCCTCAGCTCCTCGGCAACATTCTTATTCTCTGCTTCGAGAGAAGCGACGTCGTCCTTTACCCTATTCACTAGCTGATCCATCCTAGACCCATCCAGTGGCACGGATGGCGCAGAACCTTTGTTGCTCCCATCCGTGATGCTGTCCGGCGATGCGAGAGGGCTGCTTGGACTTGTTTCGCCCACGCCCACGGCCGCACTCCAGTATTTTCCTTCGCACACTTCCGTCTGAACATGTATATCGTCACCGGGCCATGCACCTGGTCCCTTTTGCGGCGACCACTCGTCCCTGATCTTACTTTCCTGCTCCTTGTCAGCTCGCCGGAAATCATCACGGCGTGATTCTTTCCCGCCCGCAAGGAGAGAAAAGGTCTCCCAAGCCAGCTCCAGATTCTCCTTTCTCCTCTTGATGTTGGCCTTTTTCTCCCGGATGAGCTCTTCGGCCGACTGAATCTCTAGGTAGAGCTCTGCTGTACAGCTTTGCGAGGCCTGTATGGATGACATCAGGGAGATCCGGCATGAACGCAAGTGAATTAGACGCCGTAAGCCGAGGTCAGGAGGAGGGGACTGAAGGTGAGAACTGCCCGAGGGCGTGACAGCGATAGGGCTGTCACCTTCGACCTTGAAGGCATCCAAGGAAGAGTTGTCGAGACTGCTAGGATCCTGGAACGGGTCCGGGAGGGGTTGAGCAGGGCATTCACTTTGCACCCCTTCGACGATCCCTTTGAGGGTCTGTTGATGCGTTCCAGGAGGTGAGCCGGTCAGTTGGAGGAGGTGTTTGGCATCTACAGGTTGACCAAGAAGCCGCGCTGCGCGCGAGTAAGCCCTATCCCTGTCCCTTGAGACCCTATCGATCCCAGAATAGTGCGCTTGCAGCCTTTCGGAAAGGCAAGTCTGACAATAAAATTGGCTCTGAGGTGTATGGCATTGCGGGCAGTCGTGATGGCGGCTGATGGTGTGATGCTGGTGCTGGATTAGCCTGGGTCGGTTCTTCCGGTCAGAAGAAGAGCCCTGTTGCAGATGGCGGCTGGGCTTGACACCACTGGAGTGATTGGATGACAGATGTGATCCCCTCGAAGTGCCAGAGGGAGTTTTCAAGGAGGAGGGCTTTTGAGGGACGTGGTTCACCGAGTGGAGCCCCCTTTTCGACCTATCGCTGGTGACAGGATTCTTGCTTGTCGAGGAGAGGGACATTATGAAGAGCCAGAGCGAGTGCCTGATCCCTTGAGAAAACGCAAGAGTAGACAGTGACTACCACCGGGGAGGTAAGGTGTAGAGAGGAAGATGGGGAGATCACCTGTGTGATTGATTAGGATAGAAGTTGACCAAAAAGGGGGCCAGGGGGGGGGGGGGGGGACTTGAGAAGGATTGGCTAGCCAGGCCAAGAGGTGTGAGCTACGGGGGGAGATACCATGACTCGGTTGGTTCTCGTCTTCGTTAACGCTCTTCTACCTTCTCCGTCTTTCTTGGTATTATGCAAGGTGAAGAGGTTTGTAAAGGATGGGGTGAGGATGAGGTGAGGATGAGGTGAGAGGCCTTGTCTGGTTCTTGGGAGTAGCAGTGTCGAGCGACCACGAAGGGTGGAGGAGGGTTGGTTGGTTTCGCACTGTGATCCCGAAAGACATACGATGGGCATTCTTGCCCGATCCGAGATCGGCAACTGTTTACTCCACTTTTCCTTCTCTCTGTTATATTATTCAGCCACCACCGCAACCCGCCTGGTCACCACCAACCACTCGACCGCTCGCCATCACCACTCAACACCACCCGCACACACACTCCTTCCTCTACCCTACCTCCTTTCCCAACCACCAAAGGTCCTAGGCCTCTTCCACCACCCTTTACTTCCTCATCCGGTCCAGCAAAAACATCAAGGCAAGTTTCATCTTGTAAAGCGAATCGCACCTCTAGTTCAAGATGACAGAGAACGCCGCCCCGATGGACGTCGATACCCCTGCCAAGCCACCTCGCTTCCAAGTCAAGAAAGTGAGCATACATGCCTGTCTTTTCCCCCTTATGACCGACCCACGGATTCACACCTCCCACTTTCCGACTCGATTCAAACTCTTTCTGATTCCATCCTCTCACCTGGTCTCCATCTTCTTTCCCTCGCCGAACGCACCTCTCTCTCTCTCTCTCTCTCTCTCTCTAGTGGAACAGCGTCTGCCTTTGGAGTTGGGACATCGTCGTCGATAACGTGAGTCTTACAAGATGATGAAAAGAGATCCTCAGCGAGGTTCTCGCTCATATTGAAAGCATCCCATCCAATCATTCACCTACAGTGCGCTATCTGCCGCAATCACATCATGGACCTCTGTAAGTAACGATCCCACTTTCCACTTTGGGATGTTTTTGTCCTTCATTATTCCCTCTTCTTACCGACAGAACAAAAAAACCCACTATTTCTTGGTTTCCCCTTCTCTCTCCACCCTTGTATCAGGCATCGAGTGTCAGGCGAACCAAGGTTCAGCGACCACAGAAGAGTGCACAGTCGCCTGGGGTCAATGCAATGTGAGTCACCTTCCCGGTTTGATGGGGGTTTGTGCTGGCAAGGGTAATGCAGTCAACAGAGGGACCTTCCTTTTCTCTCTCGAAAATGATCTGACCAATGAATACCTTCGCACCTCCCTTGTATTCAGCACGCCTTCCACTTCCACTGCATCTCCAGGTGGTTGAAAACTAGACAGGT